TTTGCATTTGATGTGTATGGCACGGGCTTTCACCACTGTGGTGCTTAGACGTTACTTTTCTAAAAGAAAAGTAGGATGCAGCTACTGCCAATAATGTTAGCAAGTAACCCAACAGCTCTCCAAACCACCACGCTACTCTCTGGGTCCCTAGAAGTCACGAATGTTTTCCTTACATTTATGTCCCTGTGAGGTCAGTCCTTCTGCTGCTTAGATAAACTCCCACACAGTGATTTGCTTTCTGGAGACAGCCATTTCCTGGGATCTCCAAACCCATCCAACCCCCACTGTCCTTCCCTTTGCACTTTGTGTTTGTCTGTCCTAGAGGTTAAAAAAAAGCTGAGAGATACTCTGAATCCAGAAACAGTGTGAGTTTTTTCATGGAGCTGGCCAAGCTAGGAGCTCCTTCAATCTTGCACACATTCCTTTCGATGGAAGTCACGATGACACGTTTCAGCCAAAACAAATCTCATGGGCAGAGCCAAATTAGTATGACAAGCCTTACTCCTAACTGTTGAAAAGGGAGTTTGGTACATTTATCATAAAACATGGTTTAAAACCCCTGCTTATACAGGAAGAGGTGTTTGACTGACTTTTCCACAACCAACCACAGACCTTTAGTGAAACCACTGCCACCAGTATGCATATGATATTTCTGCTATCCCAGTAACTCCCCACTAACTGCTGAAAACAATACTTTAATGATGGGATGTTGTGTCACAATGATCAGTGGTTTATCCAGATTTATTCCCCCTTTGTTGTTATAATAATAACTTCCACTCTTCGGGGAAAGCTTTCCACTAGATTTGGATTTGTGCTCATTCAGCTACAAGAGTATTAGTGAGGTCAGGTACTAGGGTCAGGTACTAGTTGAGGAGGTCTTTGGTGCTTTCGGTGTTCCAGTTCATCCCAAAGGTGTTCAGTGGGGTTGAGGTCAAGGCACTGTGCAGGAAACTTGAGTTCTTCCTCACCAAATTTGATGCACCATGTCTTCATGAAGCTCGCTTTGTGCACAGGGGCATTGTCATGCTGGAACATGTTCGGGTCTCTTAGTTATCTTAATTAGGTCTCTTAATTGTGTGATTCAAACTGTGTGGCAACAGTTTTGGGAAGAACCACATATGGGTGTGACGGTCAGGTGTCCACATACTTTTGGCCACGCAGTGTGTTTGTATACACAGATATACAAAGACACAATCAAATAGCAACTTATAAGTTATTTTTTATGCTTGTGACCAACTTGCGTGTAGAATGGGTATGAGATACTCCAGTGTTTCTGCTGAGTATCTGGGGCTGAGCCAAACTGGAGTCATGTCCTGAATAAGAGCAAGGTATTTAGAAGGTGCTATGGGATCATTCTGCCATTTTGTTAGGGTTACTTCTTGGGTTACATACCACACATACCGTGAGAGCTGAAACGGTTAGCTGTTTCATTGTTGCTTTCAGGACTGGCTTCAAAGCAAGTCAAGGGAGTAGCAGTTGTATTGTGACAAACTCCTGAGGATCACTTTTACATTTCTGGTGTGTGCCATTTTCATTTGAGAAGTAACTCAATGCCCATGTATAGTTTACAGGTAAATGAGTACAGGTCCCACAGATCTTCAAGCCATAATGTAATAATTACTAACCAATGTGTGCAGGTACAGTTGAAGTTGGTATGCCTTCATAGTTGCCTGGGTGTTCTCCTTACTGTGGTGGTGTATATTTAAGCATATACTCGCCAACCAGTTTGTACAGCTTCACTGTCTTTGCACACTGTACCCTCAGGTTCCTGTTCTTGGCTGGCAGGATTGAGCCCGACATGGTCTGTTACTGTTTTTGGCATGTTGTGCATTCGGAGATGCTTTTCTGCTCACCATGGGTGTAACGAGTGGTTATTTGAGTTACTATATCCTTCCTGTTAACTTAAACCATTCTCCTCAGAACTCTCTCTACACAGTGTTTCTGCCCACAGAACTGCCACTGGATGTTTTTTTTTGTTTGTTTGTTTTTCGCACCATTCTGTGAAAACTCCAGAGGCTTGTGTGTGTGAAAAATCCCAGTAGATCAACAGCTTCCGAAATACTCAAACCAACCTGTTTGAAACCAACAGCCATGCCACCATGAAAGTCACTGAAATCACTTTTCACAGGACGATATCTTCCAAACCATAATGAACACTTGGTACACGTTTGTATGAAAACCTGTCGACTATCTAGGCTGCTAGATAACACGTTAATAGCGGATCACCCGTGAGATACTGCGCCATTGGCATCGGATTGCCAAGTCCAGTAGGGCAGAAGAGAAATGATGATATCACAGAGAAACAGCAGTGATGTTCTTTTGGACATTGATACAGCCACACAGATCAGTCACGCATGGGTTTCCTTTTTGCAGATAAGCTCTTGCTGCCCTTTGATTGTCTTGTGTTCAACTATAAGATGTCATGCTGAACAATCCCAATACCACATTGGGTTCTTCTCATACTGATCAAACACATCAACTACTGTCCTAACTAATGGGGGTCAGGGTAGTTCAGTGGTTAACACCTTGGACTACTGCTCGAAAGGTTGTTCGTTCAAATCCCAGCACAGCCAAGCTGCCAACCCTAGGCCCTTAACCCTCAAATGCTCTGGATAAGGGCATCTGCCAAATCCATCAAAAAATCCCCAAGAAAAGGAACTTGTATAAATCTGACTTCCACTGATCTACTTTGAAACATGGCCTTGCTAGCAGACACCACGACTTGGCACACAATAACGATAATTACTGACATTGTACAAGACTCCTTTCCAAATAAAACAAGGTCTCAAGGCTGGAATTTGAATGTTTTTATATGGCGCAGACATGTTTTACCATATCACTACACCGGGTCAGAAAATGATTAAAGACCAAGGTACAATTCACACGAGAGGCATGACCTTTGCCCCTGGAGCGTGTGTGTGTGTGTGTGTGTGTGTGATTGCACACTCCTTGTAGCTGAGTATCTCATTCACATCTGTTTTTCTGCTCTTGCATTAACCCAGTTAGCATGTTCCTCCCCCACTCTTCTTCCTCTGGCTCACATTTACACACATCCTGGTGTGGCTAGAAATGATGCGCTGCCCTCTGAATTCTGCCACTAACACTGACACTAACACTAACATGACTACCATGGCCTCTCCAGATGGGTTCCGTATAAGAAATCTCTGCTTTTCCAAACACAGACACACGCTCCCTTGTTTCTCAGTTCACACACCACGAACAAAGAAGCCTTCTCTCCCTGCGTTCAACCAACACCTCTCATGAACCCACTAACTCGCTGCCATATGCCTTAGTGACGAGCCGCTTTTATGTATGATCAGCATAGGGGTTTTTTTTCAGAGAAAGTCCTCCGATATGGCTGCCCAAAAGCCCCTGCGTTCTATATTTGTCATGTCATAAAAGCAAGACGATGACATCCTGTTTAGAGCTTCCCGTCGTCCACATAGGGCCGCCCAGCACTTTAAGATAATTCACCATAATTGTCTCACCACATGTCCGTTAGCATGCGTATAATAATATCTCATTCACAAGTGATCCTGTAATGATAGAGTAAAGACCTCCCGCCTTTGTAGTCGATGTAGTGACACAGGACCGCCATGTCCTGATATTCCGATAGTGCTGATATTCTGCTGATGTCTGCCAGATAGGTTTAGAGGGTTAGTGAGGGTATAGTCATGGTCTTTAGATATAGAGGTGTACGTTTGTACTGGGATCCTACAGGACACGCCAAAAAGCCAGTGGTTGTCGTGTGGGTAGGATCACGAGCAGTCAGACGTGAAGCTCCCAGGACAAAGAAAAGTTAAGCATCAGATGTGTCAGAATAGTCCCGTCTTAAAATATCAAGATGTGACGTCATATCGTTCACCCGTATGAACCACAGACCTTTTCAGGAACCTGTCAGCCATCGAACTGTTCTATCGTTTACTCACTGTTTTACATTTAAAAGCATGATGCTGTGAACCATTTATTTATTTATTTAACTCTTTAAAAAAAACGTTACATGTGTCTATGGAGGACAAAAATATCCATCGAAAAACATCATAGAAATATTTATTTATTTATTTATTTTTACACTTTCACAGACTTTTTTTTTTTTAACCAGCATCCAATTACCAAACCATTTCAGAATTTTAACCCTTTAAATACCAGTTTTGTTATATAAAGCAAAACTCTTCCAATCTCAGTAACCGACTTGGACTCGTATACATTTGTGATTTCCAGTACAATATCATTTCTTTCTTTCAAGATATTCACACACACACACACACACACAACTTTCAGTACACACACACACACACACACACACAACTTTCAGTACACACACACACACACACACACCACAACTCTGATCTCCATACAAACACACAGACCCACACAGTTACAGCTGCATCATTATTCCAGTCGGTCTGCAGCGCTCTGTAATACAGCTGAATCAGAACAGAGGGACAGTGTGAGATGTATTTTCCCCAGAGGCTAAACCTGAGAAAATACTACACACGTCAGAAAACCTTGTGAACACAATAAAAGCCTATTAACACCGAATGCGAGATTTTCGGTTTAAACTTCATGGGGAGTAAATATTGCGGTTTAAATGGACTTCAATGGGGACGTTTTTGTCCTTAAGGTCCTGAGGGTAACTGTTTTGTGGACCTAGTTTAAAATAGATCTATGAAAGCAAATGAGGGTGAAATATTCAAATTCCAATAAAAATACACACCTTTTGTAAAATGTATGCTGTGTGCATTATCACAGACAAAATTATAAAAATGTTGATGAAAAATACAAAAATGTCCATAAGGATACTGAAGGGTTAACTGAGGGAGGTATACAGTGTGAAAGGTTCAGGCTGCAACTCACTGCTTTCAGGCCTCCCAGCCAGCTCCATCAAACCCCTTCAGATGATTCAGAATGCTGCAGCGCGCCTTGTCTTCAACCAGCCCAAGACAACCCATGTCACACCCCTCTTCATCTCCCTCCACTGGCTTCCTGTAGCTGCCCGC